TTATTTTAAAATTAAAGTAACTTGAATTTCCTCAGTGATTCAGCGGAACTGTGGATGAGGAATTGACCAAAAAAGCAAGAATGATTTTTTCTGTATGTACTAAAGTATTTCAAATCCAAGTATTTTTTCATTCGAAAAAAGGGAAATGTTGACAGGTGCAAGTCATTATACAGTCGGCCAATCAAATATCACTTGTCGAAGTACTTATGCATTAAAATCTCGACGATTTGAACCTCAGGGAAATGGAGTTATCCTGAAAAAGTATTTATAAAACTAAACCACTTCATCGTGGTACGTACCTTCGTGTGGCAAAACTTTCGTATCGCTTAGTTATTTAACAACGTGAAGTGCTGCTATTTTTTTCACTTGGGCTTCCTTATGTGTGGTCACATGACCTTTCTTTTTACGGTCACATGGCTGCTGCAGTGTCAGCGATTGGACTGCCTAAAGGGGGCCCGCGTTGCAATCAGGTTAGTTTCAGCGTCTTGAAAGCCAGGATTACACAGTTGCAGCTACGTTGATTTATGCAACGTGCTGGTCCTCGTCAGAAAAGAAATGAACTTGCGATGACTCCTGACCCTATATAGACTTCCGACTCTTCAACGCCGTTTGAAGCATTTTGGTGGCGGTTTTTTTAATCAAAAACTTCAAAATAAGTGGATGTAATGGTGTGGGCATTGTTCGAGTTACGGTGGTATTTTTGTACATAAAACTTTAAGCCTTTTAACCCGTGACGTACATAGCACTGATCTGGTCCGCACTTGACACAACCAGCGCTCGCCATTTGTGCACACCACATGCGTTCCGCGTTTCCGTGGTCATGCAGCATCCGGGACATTTCTTTTGAGCGTTTGCAGGTGCGTATATCATGGAGGTGGTTTGCAGCTCTGTTCTTTTTTCTGACGTTTCCCGTGAAGTTTTGTTTTTCTGTTTCATACTCCCAACAAAAAATTTGCAAACTGAAGGTAACAATTTCGTTTGATAAAAAGGTAGGAGAGATTAACTCCGACGTTTAGAACAATGTTCTGCCGGCTTGCTTGGTATGTACCAAAAAGAACCGTGTTTCGGGCACATGATCCACCGGGTTGCGCGCAACGCCATTTGTTATTAGGCGATCTCTTTTCCGGGTACCCGATGTTAACAAAAAATGGGTACCCGGTTCTAAAAATACCCGCAAATGCACACCCCTAATGTACAGGCCTGGTTGGTTTCTTATGCACAATCTACAAGAACTTCCTTGTTTTAGCAGTAAGCAGTATTAAAAAGGACTTTCCCATTTCAGCCTGCTCACCTTAGGTACATTCATGTCACATGCTTAGAACCACTTTACTGCACTGGTGTTATTCTGCATATGTAGTAGTGTTCTATGGTAGAAAGACTGCTGTAGGAAAACCCCACATATTTCATAAGTCTTGAAGGAATGACCTGTTTTATTACAGATTGATAGAGAAAACTTGAAATTACCCATATAATGTGAAAGGAGAACCATATGTGTGTGTTACATCTTTAACAGGATTTTTCTGGGGATATCATGTTGAATAACGTCCCAAGTACTGTTAAACATTGTGTCAGAGTCACAACATACCGGTATTTAAAATAATACTTTTATTCTTCAAGTTACCCTAGAAACTTCACATGCAAGGTTTAGTTGTGCTCTTCAGTAACTTCCAAGTTGCAAGTCTATCTGTGTTATATGTAGATGATGAAAGTATTTTGACTAAATCTACATTACTTCCCTTTATTTGACAAAACAAACATGAGAAAACTGTGTGACCCCCCCCGATAGTAGTCCACAGTTGGTGATTTTCACTAAACCCAATTGATGGGCTTGTCATGTTTTGCAGATTTCACATTACTTCTTCATGCAAGGGCCTGATCCTGTAGATGGCTTTGGCTACTGTGTTGAGAGTAACACAAATTTAGCTCCAGCTCTATCCCCAGCATTCATTGATGGCCAGGAGGATTGGTCCTCCACTAACTATTCTACATGGACTGAAAGTCAGTGGTCCCAGACAGGGTTCTCTGCAAGGGTCTATCTTAAGCCAAGTCCAGAACAAGAGGTAGGAACCAGATCTATCTTGACCTGGCTATTATTTGTTTACAAAAAGATTTTGAATATGAGTGCATTTCTTTGGATGTTTCAAATACAAATGAATTACATGTACATGGGTGTTCAAAACAATGAAATTGTTATCATTCACTTGTAACTTTGAAGTAGTAAATGATTAGTAAAATTAATGTTGCATATTAAAGTAGGCTGAGCTAATATTAAATACTTAGCTCTGACTAAAACTCTTTGTTTAATTTCTGAAAGGTCCTGAACCCCAATGGAGAGTGAATTTATATTATTTTGAATTCTATATCGTTTGTTTTGCAGCTATTAACTGAAAGTTTCACCTTGTTATTTCTTGACAGAGTGTGATATTTTGCCTTGGTATGGTAGTGGTGTTAATGTCCTTGCTGATCAGCTATTTCATCAATGCAAGGGCAAACGTCCTCTTCTCATCAATATGAGCAGCAAGGTGGAGGATCAATCATTCTACAGCACATCTTTCTGTTTAAGTTTATGCAGAGTTCTGAATAGTTTTTCTTTTGTAATTACATGTATGTAAAAGCTTATCTAGTCTTTGCCCTTCCCAAAGCTACATTTGTACATGTACAGAAATAATTTTACAAAATCAAAAGGGTTTCAAGTAATACAATATTTCACACCTCCATTTAACATATATGCATTGATCGAGGAAAGTAAACTTTTTAACTGTTTGATATTGTTTTATTTGTTTTATACAGAACATGAAGTACCAATACTCTCAGTATGCTTTACACCATACTTTCCCTGCTCATCAGGGCCATAATACAGCTTGATGCTGTCAAATCAAGCAGAAATAAGGTCCGTCATTTTCACCTTAAAGTTGTATTAAAGTTGTGGCTGCAAAAACTATGGCTGGCCGTCAGTACAAAAAGCAACTGAGAAGTCCACAAAACGTCAAAGTATATCAAAAGTGCCGTTCACACGAATTTGAGGTAATCGGAAACCAACCAAAAAGTCATTTTTCTGCGAACTATGGCTGCCCACACAAAGTGTAGGCAAAGTGAAAGCTGATCAACAGAATAACCCTCTATCCCTCACATTTCTGCTTTTGTCAGAAAGAAGAATGCCAGATGGGGGCAGAGAAGACTTGCTCATGATCACAGTGCAGGCCCATTCCGGATTCGGATGCCTGACCTTATAAGATCAAGAAGTATAGACCTAACCACTAGGCCACAAATTCCAACTGTTAAAGAATGGTATGTGTTGGATCTGGCTGGATGCTTCAGATAGCATTGTGAATAATTTTTCTCATGTATACTTTGTTTCCACAATTGCTGCATCTGATGTAGGATAGTGTTAGGTCATACATGATTGAAGGGGGGGTGACAGATTCTAAGCAACAGCCTCTAGCAGTAGACTGAATAAAAATCAATCATGTTAACAATAAATTAAGAGTGCAAGCCCTAACTAGAGGGGCTGGCATTTCCACTGAAATGACAGGCTATGCCTGAGTTTTGCGGCTTTTTATCTTCTGGTTGTTAGCCCTGAACATGTCTTACATAGGAGGTGTAAACCTCAGATTGCCTGGCCCTTTTAAGTCCTGCCTATCTCAGGCAGGCTATTTTCAGTTCCATTCAATATGCAGGCAAATTGCACAAATAAAGAAATCAACTTTTCCTCCTGTCAATTGGGAAGATCTTTAGCTTAACCTAAACTGACCAAAGCTGTCAATCAAGTCAGTGGAAAAATTTTCCTGAACAGAGCAGAAGCTAGTCTTGATTTTAAACATTTTGAATTCCTCTGCTGAGCCAAAATGCATTAATTTAAATTTCCTACTGTGATGGTTGTTCATCTAGCACCCTCTAACAGTGATGGCTTATAATCAAAGAATAAACCATAGGCCGGTCTTTGAACCATGACCAAGCAGAGGCTGGTAATGGAGAGCTTGCCATTTGAAAAAATGGATTGAAAGCCGAAAGGTTTCTGTTTTGCGTGAGTGTGGCCTGGCCTGGTCTCTGGTTCTAACTTGCTCTCCAAACATTTAAAAATTCTACCACTTGTAAAATCTTGACAGTTTGATTTATATTTTTGTTGCTACATGTGCACCATTGTGGAGTTCACTGTACATACCGTACATGCATGATTGCCCCTACTCACAGAAATCATGTTAGTACATTATGCATATGCCATTGTCCTAAACTGTTTTACTGTCCCTCACCACTGTCTTGTTGCACTCCATATTGTCACTTGGTACGTGCCACGTGCGCCTAATCTATATAAGGCAATTGTTCATGACTACTCATTACTGGAACTTCCAGAAAATGACCAGATGGGAGTGTGAAAAAATAGCAAAATTGCTGCAAATGTGTAATTTTAAAACATGTTTTTATTTTGACTGAATAGGAGTAAATATTTGCTAGGCCGGTCTTAACATTATGGCTCCGGAGAATGCCCTCACTTCTGGCTTGAGCTATTAATCAGCATCCAATCTCTTGGAGTGGTGGGTGACACTCTGAACTTTGTTTTCACTTAAATAGCTTGTTTGGACAAAAGTAGTGGCAACTTTTTCTTCAAACATCGTTGGTCAGTGGTTTTGAAGGACTAATTTTTGTATTGTTATGCTTTTCCGACAAGGAGTGCCTCGTATTAAACTACCAAAGTGGCACCTTCATGCATCATTGATGAAAGTATGTCCTAACTCAAAAAACTACCACCTTGCCAATGTCAGTGAAAACAGGTATTTAGATCTTGTTTGTAGTGTATGGTAATAGTGTATGGTTTGTTGTACATGGTGATATGGATTAATAAACTACTTATTTTGTATCTACCGGTACATGTACTACATGTTTTGTTCAACATGCACCTATAATCCTGCAGGTGGATGTGAGTTATGAAAAGTTGCACCCCCCCAAAGTTTAGAAACCAATCGGTTGCATCAGGGACCCTCACGTTTGGGGATTTATAGTTGTGAAAGTAGAGGCAACAGATGCAGTATGTAGAAGTGGATTTCATCAGCAACATAACCCAAGGGGGTAATGCAGAGAAGTGGCAGGTTATGTTTGGGTCAAGATGTACATGCTAATTGATGATGTTAACTCTAACCCCCTGTTTGGATGCTGTGTAAACTAAACATTACATTCCTAAAGTTGGAGGAGGGGGTAGTCAAGTACATTGTGAGCACTTTTGTCTGATTTGAAGAAGACAAGAAATGTTGGCATGCTATAAGAAATGTATCTCAGTATTAGAGAATGGGAGGCAAACCAAAGTTCAAATACACCCTTTAAAAGTAGCTTTGGATACAAAGAATACATGAAAACAATAATCGTGAACTTTCCAGTATCCATGTTAGTGTAACTTTGATATTAACCAAACCATCCTCATATCTGACATATCAGTGAACTTGATACTCAGAAAATACCCCCCCCCCATATTTTTGATTTGAGGAAGCCATGATGGCTGTTGTATATTTAAATCCCAGTTGACTGCCAGCTGTGTAAAGCCTAAATTAAAAAATTCAACTGTATCCCAAGTAGATGTGCATGAATTTGTGGCCTTTTTTTTAAGAGGTAAATGATATTCAACAGAGTCCAAAGTAATTCAGTGTACATTTTATAGAACTCAGAAAACCATTAATATTGACCGGATGAAGTACATGTACTTGTTTACATTCTTGTACTGTAGCCTTGAACACAACCTTGGCAAATTCATGTTGTATGTTTTATTTGTTTGGTCCCATCTGAACGCATCACTACCTAATAAATTATATGGAGTAATAAAATGATGTTTACTGCTGATGGCATTGGTAGTTGGGTTGGTTTAAACATTACAATACATGATACTGTACTTGTTGCGGCCTGTGGTTGCACATAGAATTATCTCATGAAAAATCCCGATAAAAGTGCTTTTATTGAATCTAAAACTGTGGATATATAAATGTCTTCATTTCTCCAGAATGCAGCGCACTACAGGGGTCATTCATATATCAAAGCTATATCAAAAACTCATAACCCAAATCTGGCGACTTGTTACCAATTTTTGCAGAGCCAGTAACAAATACATTAGTGAAATCTGCCCCCCTGGTTTCACTTGCAGACGAATTGGCTGTAGGGGTGGAGGTCGGGCTGTTGTGCTGAGAAAGATTTATAAAGTAGCGCATTTGGAAGCAAAGGTTTCTGCTTCATTTGAGTACAAGGGAGTGAACATTTTAACGGATGAAAATTCTGTGATTAAATTAATTGTTCTCTTTCGACCTGCATCATTGTGCAATGATGTCATTGAGAATTTCTCTGAACTCTTGGCATTGGTTCCATAGAAGGAAATTGGTCATTGTAGGTGACTTCAATTTCAACTGACAGTGGCACTAATCAAGTATGTGAACTGTTAGATAGCCCTGAGCATTGTTCAGAATGTTCAAATACCTACACACACCAGAGGCCATGTTCAGCATTATGTCATAACTCGAGCTAATGATGAGGCTCTTATGTTGTCAATGGTCCCCCCATTTTCCTTCACATTGTATCACTGTGGCATCTTTGTGAACTCAAACTTGTCAAACTAAAAAAAACTGGCAAAAAGTCACATATCGTGAAATTAAAATGTCTGAGACTTCTTGGTGACATGACATTAGTGGTCGATTAGAGCTACATGTAGATGCTGATTTGGCAGCTAAATTAAGACTGTTATTTCTCTTCTTGGAGACATCTTCCCCAATAGCAAGCATGCTGCCCTCCAAAAGTGGTGTTTACCTGCTCATACACACAGCTCCAGGTAAACATCTGACATTATGAAGGCTAAGAAACTTCTAGTATAAAAAACGGGAGAAATTCTGGCTTCATCACTGTCCGCTGAACAAAGAAATCTGGTGCATTGGTTGATTAAAAATGCCAGATGCTCACATTTCAAGCAATAGCTGAAAATGCTACAAATTTGAGAGTTTTCTTTGCTCTCATGTATAAAAACAAATTGCTACACTACAAAATCCACATGACATGTTTCAGTTTATTCCTCTAATGCAGCCCTTTCGGAAGATTTCCAAGATCATTTCATCTCTAAAATTCAGTGCATCAGAACATCATTAGATAATCAACGTTTTCCAATTGCCTCATTACATCATCAGTGTTGAAAATCTCATTCGTCGATCCCCCTCAAAATCTTGTGAATTAGACCCTATCCCCACTTCTCCACTGAAGCAGTTTTTACAACCATGTTGCAAGTTCTTACAGACATTGTCGACACTTCATTATTAACTGGATCCATGCTTAAGCAACTCAAAATGGCTCAGGTAACTCCTGTAATTAAGAACTCCATGTCTGACCAGAACATCTTCAAAAACTACAGACCAATTTCCAATATGCCCTTCATTTCAAAAATCGTGCAGAAAGTGGTAGCTGGTCAGCTTCAGGATTACTTAGCATCACACAATCCGCTTGAGCCATGCAGTCTGCCTACTCGAAGTACAATGCTGCAACTGCAGTCCTGCAGGTTGCAAATTCATACTAAGAGCCATTGATGACGAAAGATTTGTCATTTTGGCTGCATTTGAAACAGTTGACCACACAGTCCTCCTGCAGTGCCTGAGACAGTTTTGGAATCACTGGTGTAGCGCTGAAGTGGTTTACATGGTACCTGGATGACTGACCTCAGTATGTCAAAATTGACACATCGTACTCGTCTAACCAAAGGCTCCATTTCAGTGTGCCCCAAGGATCAGTGCTGGGTCCTGTGTTGTTTACGCTATATTCCTCACCTGTGGCTATCATTACATGTAAACATTGACTATCTCTGCAGCTTTATGCTGATGATCCTCAGCTCTACTTGCCTTTTGTCTAAGTAGATGAGACTGGATGAAAGCAAACATCTGAAATGGTAGACAGGGTAAAAAAAATGCACGTAAACTAAAAAACTTCCGACATCCACAAGTACAAACACTTCCACAACAGAGCACGACTTGCACTTTGAGCCAAGTTGGCAGTCAAAAAAGTAAATTACCTGAAAACAGAAACATTGCCTCAACCAGCTCCCCACCACAAATGCTCAACCTGTAAGCATGTGCGCCCGTCTCATACCGAGTGCCTGGTACTTTTCTCCCTCCTTCATCACACTGCAAAGTAATTCAAATGTAAATAACCTCTCCTGGGAAGGAGCCAATCTTCCCTATCCTACTAGCCAACCCCAGTGAAGTCCGAGTTATATGCAGTTATGGAATACAAGCCTGCTACACAGGGGGGGGTGTTTTGTCAACTGAAAGTTCACTGTATGACCTCATAGACTTCCTGGTGCCATTTACCCTGCCTAAAATGGATTTCCATCTATAAGGAACTTACAGGCACATGTTTTATTAAGGCTCAGAGATACGCCATTTACCCAGGGGAGAGCAGTGTAACAAAACTCACTTTCATCTGCTTCATTACCAACTGATAGTCTATTCCACTGTGCACACTAGGAATTTTACTTATTTGCAAAGTCGGTTTTTACGTTATATTGTTGGCCAGGCCCCTTTGCTCCTCTGACTTCATCCATGTTTGGGCCCGCCGAACTTGTCAGCGTCAATGTCCAGCTTCACCATTTATATACACTCTACTGGCAGATGATCCCAATCTAACTTGGCATAGGCTCTCTCCTCAACGATCATGGCCATCACCAATTTTGTCAATCTGATCCCTCCTTTGACTAGTAGCTGGATGAGTTGACTGGCTAATCTAACGACTTTTCCCTGTTGTCACAGACACAAGGTCTTCAAACCAAGAATACTTGTCATAGGAAATACGTCTTTCAACAAGTCATTAGTACATGAAATGCGCTCCCTTACAAGGCAGTGAAAGCTAGAACTCTCTCAGCTTTTAGAAAAGAGCTTGGCTGACTTTGGAACTTCTTTTTTACAGGATACAAGAAAAGGCTAGTGCTTAAAATAATTACCCATTAAACCCGTAAGCAGTAATCCAGTAAATCCCTCAAATTTACTGAACATTTTAATCAGTAAACATGCAGATAGCATGTATATTCATATCTTTACATGGGACGTTGCTATCACCTTGATTGAGGGAATTAATTTGTGAATTTGGGACGTGTTTGCCACTGATCCCAAAAGGGTACACGGTTGTCAAGGGGTATCTTAACGAATGAGCTTAGCAAGAGTTCACATGCAACTGCAACAGCTTTCAATATTAAGGTGCAAACAACGCGCGTTGTTTGCACCTTAATATACTTGTAAGCGTTAACGCTTACAAGTATAACAAACTTGAAAACCAAAATGATTCAAGAGAACTCAGATGTAACATCTTGCAACTACAAAGACATTTACGATTAACAGCTTAATTCTCTCTATTCCATTCATCATTGTTTGTCAGTTACTATTTTGTTGTTTGCATATACATATGTGAAAATTCATGCACAGGCCAACTATGCAAGGGTGCAGTGCAGTTTAAAGATGGGCTTCGTAAAGTGAAAGTGATGTATTTTCACAGGGGAAGTATTAAGGTGCAAACAATGCAAGCATTTGTGAAAAACTTGCCAAAGTTGCAATGATCCAAGTCAATGCCTCAAGTCTGACTCAAGTCACAATTTTTAGCAACTCAATTGTGATGGGCAAATGACTTGACTCCATAATCAGAAGACCCGCCTGGATGACAGTTAACAAGACTCCAATCCCAAAACCAAAGCAAAATTCCTTCATGAAACAATATTTGCAATGACTCACAGCAACGTTTACACTGTTCATGTGTTATTATCATGAGTAACATGGTATGAATTACCACACGTGGTGACCGCAGGTAAATTTTAAATGCCAAAATATGACTTTCTCCCATTTTTCAATGAACGTATTGTGTTCAAACTTTTGTGACTCAAATTGATTTGAGCTAAATACTTGACTAAACTTTTTTGTCAAATGGCTTGACTTGCATCACTTTGTTACAATGATTCAACTCCACTTGAATGTACTGTTAAGAAGTGTCTGCTGTGACATGAGGTAAAACAAGTGTGGTTTGTTTTGGGTCTTATGTCAACTACACCTCAAACCATGTTATATGAACACAACAAAGGCATATATAGGACAGAAAAGTTGTTTTACCCACCATTTAGTCTGGTTTCTACTATTTTACCCACGCAGATGACTATTTCATCCAAATAGAATTCAATTTTGCCTGGGTAGATTATACATACATATTTCACAATTTCAACAGTAATCCTTCCTGGAAAAAATACCTTTAATCTGCCCGGGTGAAATACAAATCAGCCTGAGCAAATTTCTGGGCACAATTTTGGTTTCAGGCATGTCCTCGTACACTCTACTTTGGTTGAACTTGAATGATATTGCAAAATGTGTAAAGAAACAGAAATGGGGTGTTGTTGCCTGTCCTTTACCTGCCATTGGGTACACTTAACTTAAATAAAATGCCATTTAGCTTTTAAATTTCAAGTGGAACTTTTGACATTCAGCAGCCTCATAACCTCTGTGCAAACATGTAAGATACATGCCACAAAACTTTCAGTGTGTGTAGATCCTTTAATTACACAACAAATTACAACCAAACAACTTAAAACTGTGTAAATCATAAGCTGCTGTGGGATATTATCAACTTTGGTTATTGTAAACTCATAGCTCAGTGTATCAATTCTCATGACACATGAGATTTGAAGCTTGCCTTCAAATGATGAAATACCACTAAACATTTCTTATTCTGTCCTTTGGGTTACAGATAAATGAACATGTTTATCATTACTGACTATCAGCCAATGTAAAGGTGTTTCCTTATGCATTTTAAAAACCATGAATGGTTGTGCAACACAAGGTATAAGTTTTGGGAATTGGCCGCTGGTTGCATTTATAAATGCCATAGGCTGCACTTTTGTGCAGTTTTTATAGCATGCCTTTATAGAGGCCATGAATGTGCTGTATTTCGTCATTAGAAGACACCATGTATCACACCTTGCTTCCGTGGCACGTGGTGTATGTGTATGTCATTTTACTGATATTTCTATACTAGATTTGCTTATCACAGAACTTTAACACTGCTTACCTCAGCTGATTCAGTTTTATTTAAAAATATTTGTTCCATGGTTGAAAAAGTACAGAGCTTTATACAGCGCATGTGTCAAGGCATCTTTTGTTCAATAGATTCACCAGAAATATATACAGCATGTACTATTTAGTATACAGAATACACCATTGCTTGAAAAGGAAGCAGCTACAACAGTCATGACAGTGACTTTTAATTCATGTCACTTAAGAGTTAACAGAGCAGCTTTGACTCAAACTCTGCTATGGTCGTTAAGCAGTATTACATCTCCTTTGTTCCAATGATTACAAAGGAATAAATTCACTTTTCTTCATCATAAGACAATAATGGATACTTTTCTGAACCGATTAAGTGAATGGAATCACACAGCCATTCACAACTCAATATGAAGAGGTATTTGTATGTCCTTCGCATTTTATTTCTAAGTGCACAATCATTTGCCTAAGTAAGATTTTTGAAATTGTAAACGTGACCTGTTCTTTGAAAATATGAGACACGAATCACTTGGATCACTTTGGATTCCATAGCCTCTGACCGATTTTGCACAATGCCAAGTAAAAGTCAATAGGAACTGTCAACATTTGTCACCCACACACAGGTCACTGTAGTATCCATTCTCATCAAAACACCAAACTGACTAATACATCAAACCAGAGAGCTCAGTTGGCTCTGCCAAAGTCTCAGTTACAACTTATCTTAATGCCGTCCTGACCTAGTACCACAAGCTAACACCTTTTTTCAAGTTTACTTACAGGAACTTTCAGGGAAAATTATATACATTTTGTCAAGAGGAACATTTACAAGTAAGCTAACAATCTTTAATAATGATTTAAGGAATGGTTTGCTACTGTTAATGTGGTCCCAGATGGATATTTTCATCGACTTTTACTTTTCACAGGCTTGTAGGCATTAAGTGTACAGGTGCAAATGTACATATACAAGATGATGGCCCAAACTGCAATATGCTGTAACAGTCCACACATTAAACATGAACATGTTGCTGTACATGTTTGTGTACAGCCAGAGTGAATAACACTTGCAGGAGAGCAATGTAAATCATTAAGCCAGATTTAAAGACGGGGCTTTACATACCAAAATACTAAATTTTTAACGATTGCCTCAAAATAAAAATGCTAGCAATTTTTGAAAAATCTGCAAAATTGTGGTACAAGTAAATGCACAAATAAATGACAAGTTGAGACTCACTTTTGAAGTCCAAGACCATGACCATCAGATCTATAAAAACTGTATCGACAGAATTAACAAAAAAATACTAAAATATGGTAAAAAATGCTCACTTTGTAGCTTCTGAAATAATTTATTGCTAGGCAGAAATGCCAAATTAATCAGCTATCGACACCAATGCACTCCTTGGTCCTCAACAGCAAAATGCCAACAACTTTCGAATATTATGGATTTCTGGGTATTATCACTGTATGGGTTTACAATACATGTAAAAGTGAATTCCACATCAAGTCTTTCCCACTGCAAATGCACAATGCATTAACTGCAGTACTAACATACATGTATTCCCAAACATGGAGGAAAATTAAATCTTTGATTCTCTAAAAGTTAGATGCAAAAAGTTAGATGCAAAAAGAAGGGTGAAAAAAGGAATAATGACAAGGTTCAATGATACACAACTTACAGCACAAAATTCAGAGATAAAAACCAAAATTGAAATTGTTCGGTTTACATTAATGATGCATATTGTATTTTTGTTTGGCTTCCTATCTTAATGTGTTTCGCTAATCTTATAGTTGTGTCTTGACAATATTCAACTTTATGTTTGCAGGGTGTGAGTGACCACTTAAAGCCGAAAACAGCTAAAATGTAAAAAGTTCCCATACTTTGTACAGACCAGGTGTACAAAAAAGCTGAAATCAGCTATAAAGCTGAACTCTCACACCAGTGTTTGTCTCTGATCTAATTCAAATACTTGTTCTTCTTTCCTTGTTTTGTTTTTACCATAAATTTGGTAGTGCAAAAGAACAAAGAAGTGTACATGAACTTTAACATTTCTTGTTTTTGATGCACATATACATGTGCATGTAGTGGTTATATGAAATAGACTACTGTAAAGTGTAAAAGGGGGGATGTAAAACGCTGTCAAAACACTACCATGCTGTTTGTAGGTCTGATTTTTGTGGTTGAGTGAATAACACAAATGATGCCTTTGTCAACTGTGCATGTGTTGTCAAAAGAACATTTGTGCAAAAGGAAATATTTGACTGACTGATGTGTGAAGAAGTATTTTGGGGAACTGAAACGACGGAAACAAATATGAAACAGTAATGGTAAATATCACACAGAATGTTGGTCAATACATATACGGTACTTTATAATCATTTTCACAGAATACCATCATTTTTCACAAAAAGTTTGGCCATGAGATGAATGTCAGTCACCTTGAGTTTGTAGTACTGAGCAAATACCATGTCTTATAACCTCTCAAAGTATTGACTAACATCAATTCCCATGATTAATCTTCATCCATGAACTACAGCAAGAAATGAAAGTGACAATGTGTCACAAAATCAATTGTAAATATTTTTTCACTTAAAGCTAAGATTCTGATACATGAGTCTGTTTAAAACTCCCTTGGGTGACACAATAAGTTTCCTTATACAATTCAAAGAAAGCCTTTGAACGGCCATTTCCTGCTCCGGAAATGTTAAATGTCTTATCCTCATTTTTTTCCCACATGGACAAGGTATAGAACAGCACTGGCTTTTGTTGGTTGAAATGAAAGCTGAGATCTATGAACACATACATGTACATATGTTGGCATGCTGTGAATGGCAAAAAGTAATGTCTCGGAAAATGCCAAAGTAAGCCTGAGAATCATGTACGGTACTTGTATCGGGGAGGAAGAAAGTGAAATATCCACAAAATAATTAGCAGAGAGATTCAAGAGCCCACAGCAGCACATACGTTTGTATTTGCCTAAAGGCACCCCAAGCAAAAACCCATTTCTTGTGCTCTATGTCAACTTATGTAAACATACCATACTGCTTAACCAGGATTTTCCAGGTTTTGAAATCAGGAAATCCTAACAAAAATCCTGACAAATCTCATCCCTGATGTACATGTACATGTACACGTACACATAGATGCAGTTAACCTTGGCTTGCATGTTGGCAGGTAGCTTCTCAAAGTATTGACTATCATCAATTCTAATAACTTTCCCAGAAGTCGGCCTGAAATTCTCCTAATTTAAGCAGGATTACAAACATTGTTTCTGACAGAGTGCATCAAAAGATTTCCATATGAATGTTGTGTTTAAGTTATAAAAATATTCAGTATTTGAAGAGAATATTGTAACAATAGCTTCTCTTTTGCACTTAAAGAATGCATGGCTTTAGTACCTGCTACATGTACAGGTACCTTCATTTGATAATGTACGGTACCACCACTAAATCTTCAAAATGCTTGTACATTACACATTTTTACATGTTCAAATGCACTCACTGCAACAGGCCCAATTGTGTGCTTTGAATCCTATTGCATGTAAGCTGGCTAGTTAGGAAGTCTCCTATAGCATCAGAGGCTAATAGTGTCCATTGCAATCTTCCCACATTTCAGACCAGTCTTAATATTAAAAAAATCAACACGGTAATCTAAATATCCAATACAAAAAGATATTTTCTACTTGCTGTAGTTCAGATGTAGTATCGTGACAACGGCACTACTAAAACCTTATAGTAATTCATATAAAGCAGAGCCTAGATTGTACGTGTCACTCTTAGATGACCTTGAACAACTGTGAGTGGACTTTGCTCACATACAAGATGATTGCTGACAAACCAGTCCTCATTTGTTCTGAGCAATACTGTCTAATCACATCGTTTCATGCTTAGGACCACTCTCAAATCATGAAGACTCTTCATCACTACCTAATCCTATCCCACCATCATTGGATGACAGTTCAGACCCATTGTTTCCTCCATCCTCTTCAAGAGGATCACCCTCCCCATTTGACAAACCCTCCACTTGAGGTGAGGAGGATGACGAATGATGTACCCGTATCATCGATGAGACAGTTTCTCCAGACAATGTGATTTGCTGTACTGGTACTGTTGGTGTGAGTTCTGTTGAAGCGCCAATGTCACTGCCTGAAATGGTTACAAAAGTATGTATATTAGAGGTGACAACATGAATGGTTTCTTGCCCTCATATATGTACAGTGTAATGGAGCCCTATAATGGTTGCAGCACTCAAGCTACAATAAACTTTTTGACAACTCCAACCTCAGGGGAATGCATAAAAAATTTGAGTTATCCTGATTTCAAACTGACAAAAAATCCAGAGTCTTCCCCACAAGCAACCCTACTTGCCTCCCCAACCCCCGTGGTGACTACTGGAGATGCAATAAGTAGTGATTTCCTCTAAAAGTGGTAATTTCTTTATCCAAGAACAATTTTCTTCTAAAAATCAAAAGTTTACTGAGATTTTACATTTTCATTTCATAAAATTTCTATTCTACTGATAAATAAAACACATCACCAAAACTGTGTACTTTTTTGTGACAATTCTTTCGTTCAGCACATGCCACGATGTGATACGCATAGCCCTGTGCATGCTGGGCCAGGAGTTTTCCTTTTTGGCCACATGATCATTCCTTTTTAAATGCTGGAGGTGCATCATTTTGCATTTAATAAAACGTTTGAGTGTAAATAAAATAAAAAGAACTACACATGTATTTGTGCGTTTTTGTCTTTTTATTCCTTCTTTATTTACATTTAAAAAATCTGTGCGCGATTTGGCAAAACAGCACATTTCAAGCACTGCGTCAGAAACACATGTTCCTTGTGTCTACACACTGGCTGTAATTAGACACTCATGTGAGCAGCATGCGATTGCTGCAGTTGGGCAGGTAGCAGCAGCCAGGCTGTAGCCGTGGCACAACACAAGCTTCCTGCAGTGCAATCACAATGGCCACCATAAAGACTCGGTGATTGGACTGCGTGTGGGCTACATTTTGGCTGCGATAGCTATCAGCCTGTGGCCTGGTCGTGGCAAGTGGATAACAATGGTACCGGCAGCAAGCATGCTCATGTCCTCATACTAAAAAGATGAAGTGCAATTTGAATAAATAACTCGTAACCAAAGTCTCATGTTCTTTTTCCGTTTATTGTCAGTGACATGGTGGCAGTCTTTTTGGATCAGTCCTTCAAATCTTCAAGTTAAGCAGATGTTGTGGTGTGGGCATTTTAAGTTACCGAGGGATTTTTGCACATAAAAGCCTATTTTGTTGGTGGGAACGAAGAAATCTTTTTGAAAAAAAATGCAAATACCGGTAGGTACAATATACCTGTAACCTGCTTTGAGTTATCTAGAGGTTCCTGTATCACTCAAGACAATCAACTCACAACTAATATTCCGTCTGAAAGTGGGCACCAGTTTATCAAATAAAGACTTTTACTTACTTGGTTTGGCTGTGTTGGTTGAGCTCAGGTTTGCTAAGGATTCCGGCCAGAAACGTTGCGTAGAAGGTCGACTCTGAGTCTTGACTTTCTTTGTCTTTGTGCTGGGATCAGGATTGCTAGCATCCAACATTGGTTGTAATATTCTCCTCCTTGCATTGATAAACCTGTATTGATAAAAATTAGGTGTTTTCCAAGAAAAAAAGTGCCCTCAACTGTTTCACGAGTAAATACTAATTTAGGCAAACTGGTGTTAAACATTGCAAAGTATTCACTTCAGGTAATCAAAATGACTTTAAAAGTCTCGAGTATTTCAAGATTTGCCCATGACTGAACATATGTTTTGCCTACAGTTCATGACTTTGTGTGAATTAAAACTACACTGTATATACCCAACTACATGCATGTAATCAATTTATGCGACGTTATTGGTCGACTGGTTCATTATTCCACGAGTAATATGGGTTATAGAGCCACAGCTACACATGTATGTGGGCTTAGTAGAATTACTTGGTCTTTGCTTGTTTGGAAGCAGTTGTATCAAATCAAAATTTTCAAAAATAGTATGGAAGTTCTCCATTTTTAAATTACTTGAATTTTGTTACATGAACTGAAATTTAATCTTTCATCAGAAAATCTCCTTGTACAGGGTGGTTTTGGCTGAACAATGGATTTCTCACTTGAATTTTTGTTTTTTTTGAAGAAGTTTTGACCTGATCCAGAAATGGCTAAACTGATAAGGAAAAGTGGTATATATGCTTTCAACAATTCAGCATATTCCAAATTAAAATTTTCCAACTTTGGAAAATAACTTTGTTGTTTTATCTTCATACAAGGTGGGTGATTGATTTGTGGATGTGAAGCTAGGAAAATGACTGTAGTGTTATTCCTTCAGGATGTGTATGTTATGTCCAGATCTAGAAACATTACTGCAATACTGCATGCTGAAATTATTATGCTGGCAAACTCTTTATGTTTGTTAGAGAGTGTGGTTAACTTTTTTGCACTTCTATAATTATACATGTAACACAACAAAATGGGGAAAAATGCAGTGGAAATAACAGCAGGGTGGTGAAAATTTCAGCAGGGCGGCAAACTTTAGCAGGACGGTAGGGCAGCATCTTTTTGGCAGGATGGCCTGCCCTGCTAAAACCACCCACAGAGAACACTGAAATGGCCACAATGTCGCAAGAATTACTGCATGGATTTGGACGAGTTGTTTCCCAAGGGTAAGTAAGCAAACCAATACTACAATTTCTGATAATTAGCAGTTCCAAATGTTGTTTTTTAGTGATTTATTTTTGAGTTAACACATATAAAGCAGCTTATCAGCAATCCCTTCTGAGCCAATTTTAGGTTCATAATCTAAACAGACAAACCTCTGAACTGTGCAGTGTCTCTCTTTACTGACATCACAACAACAGTACCCCTCAGTTGTGCAGAAAAGCATGCACAAGTTGAAATGTTTAAAAGTGTAATTTTCATACTACGAAAAGAATATATCAAATAGTTTCATACAATGAAGAACCACCTTAAGTTGCACAAAAGAGTGTCTAGGAAAGCCGCACTGCCTGGACCCTTTAAATGTTTAATGTTTTCTAATTAGGCTATTTTTCTTTGAAACTTCAAAGAAATTACAACGGGAAACCAATACCATTGTGAAAGAGTTCAAGTTTTTTGGTATGATAATTGAAGCCATTTAGTGTGATTTGGTTCTGAAAGGAGGAAGTTTGGTACATTGTGAAGTGCAGCTAAAACACGAAGTGTGGGAATGGTATACATGTATGTTTCCAGTTTTCTTGGCAAAGATGGTTGTCAGTTTCATGAACATTAGATATAAGACGGTACTCTTGCAAGTGGTAACGGCAGTTCAATGATGCAGCAGGTTTTCAACTGTATCATCCTGCTGCATCTTGCAGCACATCACAGCTGTTACAGGTCACCTACCCTACACCACTGTAGTGCTACAGGTTTGGCGATTTGTAAAGTGGTAGTCATATCAAAATCTCATTCACATTCAGGCAATTGCAACTTTAAGGTAAATTCCCATTGACGCAAACATTTTGCTGAGTTTAGTTTTAAAAACTGTGCTGTTGAAATAAAATGAAACAAAACCATCTTCAGGAAATAAACATTTGCAGAAGTTGGGATTCAGAAATTTTCTTACCAATTATTGACTTGCAACAGTGTCAGGTTTGTCTGAGCTGCTATCATTCGCTTCTCATCTTCTGTTGGATAAGGATGCTATGATGGAAAAAGGCAACTGTGTCAGTTTCTAAATGCAGTGACAAATTGTAAACATACATGTACATACAAACACTTCAAAATCCCAATTAATCTTGGTATGAAATTCATAATCACACCTTGCAAACACAAACAATAATGGACCCTATTTTTCCTTTTAATCATACATGAACTTGTTTTGAAGACTTATACACGTACAGTGTACTCCAACCCTAAAAGATCTGGGGGAAGGCACAGTGCACATTTTCACCAGCGGAGGCATAATTTTTTGTTTCAGTAATTTCTTTGGGGGAGGGGTCATTTTGACACAAATTTTGTGAAAATTGAGCATACTGTTTTCATGCAGCACTCATTTTTTTGAGATTGGTCAATTCGAAGAACGTATACTTTTCAAATGCCGTGCTCAATACACATGGGCAAACACGCATGTGGCCTTCAACTTCAAATGACCGTAACAAGAAAACCATAAGTCAGAATGAGTTGAAACTCCACTTTTTTTTACTGATGAGTGTTTTTACATGCATGTAAATTTCAAACTAGAACGTCCAAGCCGCCGTGGCTCGTTGCTTCATACGAATCTTAATTCCTTTACCTCAAAAGTAGGTCATGTTATGAGTCATCAATGCTAATTACAAAAGATGCTGCTAAATTAAACAAGGAATCATGCTAATCAAGTACAAGATTGCCGCAATTTTTAAAACAGCAAGTAAAGAAAAAAAGGTTGACAAATGACGGCATCATGGATGTAAAAATGGACGTCACTTTAAATGGTTTTGCCCCCACCACATTATCCCATCCAACTCTGGCTCTGCCTCCATCCCAACATTCCATCCATCTCCTAATCCACTCCCATCCCATCCTATCATCCGATCCATTTCCTACTCTTTCCCTTACCCAATCATCATCATCTGTCTCCCTTCACATAATCCATTATTCCACACATGTAATGGACATGTGCCTATAGAGTACAGGAGTGTACAGTATTCACATGTACATGTACATGTATGTATACATGTATAACACAATTGAAAACTTTAAACATTTTGGGTTCTATTTCTTTATTAAATATGTACAGGTATGTAAACACACTTCAAAGCAATGATCCCACATAAAGGCCTGGTGTTCCTCAAGATTACCTACATGTATATGTATATACACAAGTAAACACACAAGAAAAAATTTTGACATTGGGCAAGACGTCCGGACCTACAATGTATCCCATGACGAACAGACAACAGGACAGAAATTGGTATTACATACATGTAGGCTCGTATTTGCGCTGCGGCTTGCCACAAAATCAGCCAAGTTCCTGCCCCCACCCAGATACTGTATGAGATGGTCCAAAAGAACTTAGCTTGTTTGGGGTTAAATTGTATGGAAAACCTCTAATGTTTGTACACAGTCATCAATCTTCGACATTTAGTCAATCATGCATGCTATTACCCTCAAATCAATGTCTACAATTTCAATATACATGTATGTACATGTTTTTCATGTCTGTCGCACGTGTTGACATTCCTTATTTTTAAATCCAGAAAAAACACATTTTTCTTGCACAGTAAACACAAATTTAAGCCCAGTTTTGTTGACTACTCCTTTTCCTTTTGGTACAAATAACCCGAACGTCCAAATGCCTCAAAAAGTGTTCAAGAAAGGAAAATGAGTGGACTTTTTTACATACATGTACATTGTATAACTGCGTTGTGGGGCACCTTTTGTTCTCACACCCACAAGGAACAACATTGTGTATACATTCAAACAAACACACTTACCTTACATACATGTACCTAGTGAGGACATTTTTTTCATGCAGTGAAGAAAACTCAGTGAAAATACTTGTTTTTCTTGAACTGGGAACATACTTTTCAGCTGGATTTTTGTAAAAGGTTTCCTTGACTGTTCCTCTTCCTTATACGAAAACCCCAAAATGCCTCTCAACTTCTTTTTCAAAGAAGGGGAAACGTCCTGTGTAAGTCCACAGAACGTCTTGTTTTCCTGCATCATGTGGACATCTTTTGTTCACGAGTCCACACTAGGTATGTAAGGTTAGTGCACCACTTCCAGTACCAGGTACATGTAGTGTGTAATTAAACCCTTTCATTGTGACTTCTCTGAAGAAACGTGTGGTAGTGCATAGGCATATAGCAACACTTTGCAATTTTGTTTGAAGCAGCCCTCTATACAGACTCTGATTTATGTGGCCCACAGTACAGTGTCGCCCCCCCAACTAAAACCCCCTCAACTGAAACAGAACACTCATTTTCTCCCAAAAGAAACGGCAACAAATCATCTATCAAAAAAGCACTGAATACCGATCACATACATCTTGTATTCACTGAACTTGGTCAGTAATATCTTTAGATCTTACCGGTACAGTCCATAAAAAGTGGTTTTTTGTTATATCTGAAAAATGTATGTTCTTAAATGACATCCAGAATGTAAAGATGTTGTTTTGATTTTTTTTAAGTTTGGCCAAACCGTAGACATTGCAAATCAGGTTGACCAGAGCAAAATGGTCAGAACAAGAAGTTAGCTCTGAACAGTGCAGTGCACTTTTCTAACCACAGCGTTTTCTTTCGAACAAAGACGGAAAGCTACCAGAATAATGCCACATCGTCACCTTATACTTTTACCCTTAGTTTTCCATGTACATGCCACTGGAAAGCTCTTCTGCTACTGAATTAAAATATACGTGTACCAATATCTCAATTTTTGAAAATATTTACATTGGGCTCATTTTGTGGTGACATTTCTGTACGCCACGTTATGCAACCTCCCATGCATGTACGTTACATGCATTTTATGTTCAATGCATTTTATGTTCCATGGGCACATAAACTGCATGTCTGATGTCCATGCTCCACTTTGTTCCAGATGTGTACCAAAAGGGTGCCTGATTTTAATTGTGGGTTCTCACATGTACCGGTAAGTCACACATAACGCCATCACTTGCCAGGATTGAAACATTTATTTGAGGGGTCAGTGAAATTAACCATGACAAATTTATTCCATTTCGACATCCCCCAGTGTTTATGGCATACCAATGAATATTTTTAACAATTAAGTAACAGTTTGTCCGAAGAGGTCTTCATGGAACCTTTAGTTTTAAATTACAGGTTTCTGCCTTTACACTGACATACATGTATATTTAAAACACTGTATATTCAGTGCTTGTTTATGAAGTTGTGAAAAATTTACAGGCTTATTCCAGTAGGACTCAAATCAACGACCTCCTCCGTACTAGAACAGATATCTTAACGATTGAGCACTCCAGGAAGGGCTGACCAGTCTGAGTCAGATGTACAAGTAGCAGTGGGTGCCGCAAGTTATTTCAAGCTTTACTTTGTGTTGGGATAGGCTATGTTTTACGCCCGAGATCTTTAGAGCTAGGGCAAAAAGGATCTTTAGATCTAGAGTTCAGTGGAGACACTCAGGGTTAAATAACAAAGAAACAACAGTAAAAGGGACTCACGTTGTTGAATGCTGAGAAAGTGAAAATGTGTGTTCAGAAACATGTTATTAAAGCCATTCACAACAGCCTTTGGGAAGTAATATTTAACGTAATCCTAGCAAATACACCTTTGATTCCCAAATAACTGCATGTACAATGTACATGTACTTTTAGTTTTTGTTTTGCCTTTTGCAGTATTTTAGCGTCTTCCACATGTACACGTAGATCAATAAGATACTTCAAATTTTCAAATTATTAACAAAACAGTGATGCCGTTCTGGCAAGAAAACAAAAATTCTACAGCTACTGGGTATTGAGATGCAAATAATTGCTAGAAACTCAATTTTGCAGTCACATTCTTTGCCCATTGACCGTGCAAATACACGTTACATGTGTAGCAGAAAGCCAACCAGCAACCACTTTTCACAACTATTTACAGTGAGCAAATTGTGCGTCTACATTTTGAAAAGATAAAATTCCCGACAAACTGAATAATGTCTTCCGGGAATGACTTCCTACCAACAACACCCTTTGTTGTTTGAAAAAGTGAGGACTAATTTGAGGGACATGCACTTTTCAATGTATTTATCCAAAAGAGATATCAGGCAGTTTTCAGACATTTAAGAGTAGAAAGTTGGACCCTTTATTACATAGCAGTATTTTTGCCTCACATCTACTTGTAGAAGTTATAAATCCACAAGTGCAAGTGCACAGAGTACTAACACAGAGGGCTTTGCTTACCACTATATGTTGGAAGAGCCATGATCTCATGATGTTGGTGGCGTGCTTGGGAAGTACACCTCTCTTTGGTTTTCTCTTATTCAACAGTTCATTCACATCATCATACTCATCCCCTGCACTGGTTATTGTGGGTGTTGAGGCAGCGTATGATATTGATGTAACATTCTGCTGTTCAGATGTTCCTGATGATGGAATTCCTATATGTGAGATGGGTGTAGACCCATGGATGACAGGCACAACTGACTGAGCACCAACACCCTGCTGCGGGGTATTCTGCAACTGGACAGTTCCTGAAATACCTTGGGTAACCAGTCCTTGTTGTGTCATGACTCCTTGTGGAATAACTGGAGCATACACCACTTGGCCTGCTTGGTTCAGCATTGTTTGGAACTGTGCTTGTTGCAGCTGAAACGAACCATTTAAGGAAGACTGCATTATTCATGCTATAAATTGATGTCTATATATGTATACACATTTATACTTATGCTGGCTATATGTTGATATTTGATATTTTCTTTATTGATGAAGAGATATTTTCTTTCAATAACATCAGAAATAAACGTAAATCTACTTATTTTATACAACGATAAATTGCCAAAAGATATAGAATTTTTTGATAGTGAAGTAATATCTAGTGATTTTTGTGCACAAATCAGGGTAACATAAATGTATATTGAGGTTTAATGCCTCAAATTGCATCACAGTTTTGCTCATGAATATGAAAATTCATATTAAAAAATTGGGGAACCCAGTGAAAATGTTTGTTGTAGTCAAAATTCACTGTATGTCATTGTATGTAGAGTACAGTGCACTGGCGTCCAGTCTCGAGTTCCCCACAGATCCTCCTGAAGTACAGATCCTACTGTGTATGCAATACTATGCACACAGTTCATGCGTGCAGTTCAGTTAACC